GAGGAGAGAGGGACAGAATAGTAGCCTTGAGTTCATTCCAGGAAAGACAGACAAAAATATAATAATACCCAAATATACTATGCTTTCTTGAACGATACAACCTGGGATGGCACCATCTCTTCAAGAGGGGACTTTATGAGTTTTTTCTTTTGATGAATATCATCCCACTGGTCTTCAGTGCTGCCTTTTTGTCTGTAGGAATGTATCTCAATGACTCAGGAATGAAGTATTTTTCCATGTGAGCTGGGTTCACTTACCGCATGAAGCCACGCTGTGGTTTGGCTTAGCTTGCATGTGATCCTTGCTGTTGCACTTTGCAAACCAAGGTTAATTGCTTACTTGACCAACCCTGGCTGAACATTTAGTGTGACCCAGCCTTGGCTTCCTACAGCCTTCTCACCCCACAGCCCTGGAGCTGCATTTAGATGACACTGCTGTGTTGCAGTTTCCCAGGGCATTCCCTGCTTGTGCAGCCCCTCCGACTCCAGCTGTCCAGCCTTTCTGACTCCCTTGGCCTCATCCCATGCACCCATCTTGAGAGCTGTGAATGCTTAGCAAAAAGAAGAGCCTCAAAGTATATCTCATCCTCTGCTACTTGGGGTGCTGAAAGGCAAGGTTAGCCTGTGTACTGAATCAGATTCAGAATTCCGGCCATGGAAGTTATTTAGATGCATCTCCATTTCTCTTTATTTTGGCAAGCATCCGCTGCAGGAAAAGTGGCAGGATTTCTGTCCCTAGAGCCGGTAAGAATTCTGGAATGTTCCATCCAAAATCCAGATTTTGCTTCTCACAGAGGCTAGCCAGAAGCTTCTGAATCAGGAGAGGTGAGAATCTTGTGAGAACCTGATTAGCTTTTGATAAGAACTCACCCAAACCCACAAACTTGTTTTGTTATAACGAGTCCCAAAAGCACCTGAATGAAAAGAAATGGAATATAGGAGAAAAACAGGTTCTGTCATCTGGCCAGATAGTGCCAAGTGCGTTTTTGAATTTGAGTTTTTAAATTCCTGTGCATTGAGCCATGCTGGTTGTGTTGGCAAAATAGGGTTGCCAACCACCTTTTTGGGAACAGGTTCCTCCTTTCCTACAGCAGGCAGGTACAGGGCAGTCCCCTCCAGGCTGGGAATAGCAGTACTGGTTGAAAGCTGAGGGTGCAGAGAAGTGAGATCTTTTTTTGTTAGGAACTTCCCAAACTCAACAGAGATGGCTAAAAGCTGCACTTTTAAATGATGGGATGTGGGAGAAGACAAAATGCACAGGGCTTTCACTGCATCCTTGGAAGCTAATAAGGAACCCATGAATGGAGCAGCCCTCCATATCATTTTGTATTTCCCAGCAGCTGTAATTCACAGGTGTACTGCATCTGCCCCTGAAAGTCCCACTGGTTTGTAATGCTTAAAGAACCATGGATAGATCTCTTTCTCCAGAAATTTGTCTAATCCCCTTTTACAACCACTCAGCAGACCTTGTAGCTGTGAATGCCAGAAGTCAGTTAACAGGTTGTGATTTTACCTTGGCTTCCAATCAATTATATTGGATCAACTCAGGTTCCAGTATTATTAAGGAAACAAAACAAAACACCGAATTGTCTAGGTTCTCTCACTGTGTTTAATTTAATCCCCTTATATTTACCTGAATTCTATTCTTTACGAAGCCAAAGCACGCATCTAGGCATTCACAAGAACTTTGAGGATCACAGAAATATCATCATCATCATCATATCATCATCATCATCTTAAGGTGGGTAGCCTGAATGTGAATGCAGGAAATAAAACTCTTGTATCTGCAAGATGAGCGGCCCTATAAATCGATTTAATAAAATAAATAAATGATACAATACTATGGAAGGATTTGGCTGGAACCCCAACAGGGAGGATTACAAGTCTATTACCTTCCAACTTTATGGCTCCCCCCATCCCCCCGGCAATACATAAGGATCTTTTTGCCACTCCTTGAGGAGCAGGTGTCGTTTCTGCAGATACCATGCCCCTTCACACACTTTCTCTCTAAAAGATGGGGACTTTATGAATTGTGGCGCAAGGTTTTGGTGGCACTCCTTATGCCCTGCCTCCATCCTGTTTCCAGAACCACAGTGATCATCAGGAGATTAGTCGGTATACCAAAGGGCAGAGATACGGCATCAGAATAGCAGTTTTATTACCAGCAACAATATTCAGATTGCTGGTTGCTCATGGCCTACTTACATACAGACTTTGTTTGGGTCCTAAATGTTGTTGGAGCATTGCTTTGTTTGCATGCTGGAGCAACTGGGTGCAATTTGGGCTTGGAGTGGAACTGCCACTCAACTTCACATGGGATGGGGGTTTACACAGTGCAGAGTTAAGTGAGTAGAACCTCAAGGGGTAGTTGACCTGCTAGACTTATTACACTTCAAACCAGTCGATTCTAAAAAAGGTCTTCTACTTAACTATGGAGGGAAGAATTCACAGTAAAGGTATTGTCGGAGGGGTTCCTATAAATCTTCTTTATCTACCTTCCTGCCTATCTCTGCTACAGTTGCAAGACTCTCGGCAGTTTACAGTAATTGCAAACAGCCCAAGCATTTAAAGAAAATCTCCACAGTAGGAATTGAAATATATGCCTTTCTAAAACCAGAAACGTCATCAAAAGCGTCAAATCAGGCACCTCATCATTCACTAGAGGCCCTCTGGAATACCTCCATTTTCAGGAATTTCCGGAAGATCAAGACTGAGGAGGCCAGCCTTGTTTCTCATGGAAGGCTGTTCCATGAAATAAGGGTTGATACTGAAAAGCACCTCCTCCACGCCTACATTCTTCTGTGCAGGCGGAAACAGGAAATCACCAAACATTCCTCCCAGGATGCATGTGATGGGTAGGTCGAATCCACTGGCCAGAGATGGTTCTGTGGATACTTTGGTGGCAAGCCATTGTCAGGCTGTACAGGGACAAGAAGCATTTTGATTGCACCCAGAGTCTAAGAGGAAGCCAGCACAGGGCCTGGAGCACAGGAGTGATGTTCTTAGAGCAATGTGTGCCAGAGAGGAGCTGGGCCACTGTATCTAATCCTGTCTGCATCCTGTAACTCTTAAAGTGTTGCACCAATAAAAGCTTGAATCAAATGATTAGTTTGAGCCACTTTTTGAGGATTTGCATTCTCTGCTGAATACCAGGGACAAAAAAGATGTGAGAACAATATAAACTCAGAGGAGTTTCTACCTACAAACCACAATCTTTTGGGAAAAAAAATGATGGCTCAGATAGTACTATACCTATCAGCCTTTGGAGCATCTTCTCTTTTTAGCTCACCAACTTAAACACCTAATACTAGGAAGCCAAGTGGTCCCTGAGCTGGGAGGATGCTTGTGACTGCTAGTATGGGTATGACTGATGGTTGGAGGGTCATCACAGAAACACCTTCACAGGTCAGCAGTCAGCAGGTTAGGAAGGAAGGCCAGGATCTTGCTTCCATAACAGGGTCTCCTCTATACTGAGAAACATTCATTTATGCATGTGTCTCCCTCATAAAAGTCTGAATCCCAGGAATTCCTCTCTTGCCTAGGCAGAAGACTAAATGCTAAGGGGATTTGTTTGTTTATTAGATTTATATAATAAGGTTTCTATCCTGCCTTTTCTTCAAGAGAAAGAAAAGCAGCATGCAACATGTACCCTCCTTCCATTTCCCCCACAATGTTTCTATAAAATAGTTTGGGCTGGTCCATGGCTGAGGAGGGACTCGAACCTGGCTCTTCCAGGCGAGAGTCCAATATCTTAATTTCTGCTTCTCACTGGTTCTTCTTTGGCTTTAAAGTGTAGCAGTTCTGGCAAAGTGTCCCTTTTCAAAAGTCTATCATCTATGAAGCTGAGTACTGGCGGGTTGTAGTCCTATATACTTTTAGCTTCAAATATATCCCATTAAACTGAGGTTTAATTTTGAGTAGAGGAGCATCCCACTGCATAGTAAAGGTTGTATGAGCTTGGCAAACCCACTGCAGGCATAGCCACGTTGAAGGCTGTTTGTCATTACGACTTTGGCTGCTGTTTAAAGATGCTCTGTGTAACAAACCCAAACTGTCCAAGACAGCTTGATTGCCTTTCCAACAGATGATGAAAGCGGCAGATAAGCTTGGGTAAAACCAAAAAGGCAGACTTCTCCATCGCTTGCTGCAATCACCAGAGCTGGGCAAGAATATGATGAGTGAAATCACTGGAGCCACCCCAAATAGGCACCAGCTCTGGAACTTTAACAATATTCAGGGGCATTAAACACCGAGTACAGGGCTGCTGAATTATAACAGCTGCTGGAGTCCTTTTTATCAGTTGAAAATTGGAATGGGCATTTAGAAAAAAATGTTCTTCGGTCTCAGTAGCTGGCTATCTATGGCTTATAGTGTATCCTGGGCATATCGATTCAAAAGTAGTCCAATTGATTTTAGCAAGGCTTATGGCCAGATGAGTCGGTAAAGGACTGCATCCATCATGTTTACAAATAAGCACCTCTCTCCTGTTTTTTCCTGCCTTAGATACGTCTTAACTACAGGTACCAGATTACCATCCTGAGTGTATCCACCTCTGAGTAAATCTCACTTCTGTGTACATCTGGCGGGGCTTGCCATCATTCCATTAACGGGGAAAGGAGTCAGCAACCTTTTGTGGCACCAGTGCCTTTGGGAATTTCGCAAGATTTGGGACTTTATTTATTTATTTATTTATTTATTTATTTATTTATAAGGCATGTTTAAGTTGCTGAATTTGGAGGACCATGGGGCTGTTTATGCTGTAAATTGCAGATTCCTGAATAGGATATATTAGTTGCAGTAACTACAACCAGGTCATCCAAAAGTGTTACAGCACCAGAACTAAGGTGATCTGTGCTTGTAAGTGATAGCGCACTAACTGTAGTTTTCATTGTAGAGCTTCTAGCTGCTGTCAGTGATTATTTTAATATTCTGCAAACTAACTCCCGCTTTCCCAATATTTTGTCATACTTTAATGTGATCAAGAAAGTAAAGTCAAGGCAGAGTTGTATGGACCACAATTGGGTTCCATTCTGCTTTTATAGGGATGTAAAGAAGTTGCAGTTTAGGATACAGGTGAGGCGAATATCTGCTTCTTCTCTTTGCCTCTTTTTCCCCCCTGGGGGGGGTGGTGGACCTGTGTAGAGAGTAAGGAAGATGACCTTGATGGAAATATGCAAGAACTGTTACGTAGGCAAAGGGGGCTGAAACATTTTTGGAACCCTGGGAAACAAGATAATATTCGGAAGTGACTCAGGTAGATGCCTCTCTGATTCACTGAGTAGAAGAACGGGTACGGGGGGCGGGGGGGGGGAGGTACAGCACAATCAGATCTGCAAGATTCTGTTACTATAGCCAATCTCAATAAAGTATAGTTCTAGCCTTCCTGGGGAGTTGATTTCCTGGTCTGGTCTCCCTGGTGGAGCTGACAACCTGGAAGTCTCCAGGATTTGAAGCCAGAGAAGAAGGATTCATAATGCAGCCAGGTTCTACAAGCTGCAGAAATTTCTATTCCAAACCAGGCAAGTGGCAGAAAATTGACAGCACAGCATCACTAAACTTGCGTCAACCTCACAAGCATCCCGGCAAGTGTTCTAGACTGAGCAGTGGCTCACTGGGAGCCTCCTGAATTTAATTCAGCGTCTACTCTTCCTTCCTGCTAAGATCTTGCTCCTATTTTGTAAAATAGGAACTGCCGCATAAGGTTACAGTCATTCTAAAACATGCCATGGAAACCATGAGTGTTATAGCCGTATGAAGTATCAAGATGTGATCACCCTGACCTGAGGGACTTGTGTTCCAAACTAGAGATAGGACAGGCTCAAGAGATGAAAGAACAGAGCTCTGTTTTGTGAGAGGCAGTAAGGCAGTGCTGTGAAAACCAATAAAATAAAAATCCAATGTTCTCTATGCTAAGGAAATTGTAATTTTCCTTGCAGTTTTGGATGATAGCTGGCTGGTAGATATCATAATTTCAGACATAGTTTTTCATATACTACCTCATTTGACCCAAGATGTTCTATATTAGAGAACGGGAGGTACTCAACAACTGGCTGGGTTGCTCCACCCACCCCCTGCACATTTAAGAGGTGCATGGCAGACCAAAATTTGACTGGTATGGTTTCTCTCCCAGTGTATAACCCTGTTGAATTTCTGCCTCTCATACATTGCTTAGTGGAGAGTAGATGCCACCCATCTAGCTAATCCTTTTACGAGGATTTAAAGCTACTGTATGTCAAGGTGTGCTTTCATAGGGAACATGTTGAGCAAGACTTCCTTTTAGTTAAAGAGGCCTCCATAAGTGCCCCCAGGCCACTTTTATCTTGCTCTTATGCTGAAACTGATCCCCTTCACTTGAATGAATGTGGTGGTGTCAAATATAAGGATAGTGCCTCTCCAGCTTCATGGTTGACTGATGTGCATTCCACCTGAGGAGCCCATTTGCACAGCCGAGTGATCTAAACTTGAAAGCTAATTTCTGTAATTACCAAGTGCAATTGAACTCCGGCACAACTTTTCATCACCAGCATGGGATGGGAATTCTGCCTCCATAACCATTTAATATGGGAGTGGGTTAGGGGCAAGGAACTAATTGGAAGGTATTTAACTGGGAGATTTCCCCTCTTCTTAATTGTACTATATTTAACCAAGGGGAAATTGGTATCCATAATTAGATATTTGAGTGAAGGACGGAAGCTTCCACAAGACTGAGGTGTCAAATAGCACTATACTGAAAAGCCATCTGTAGGTACAGTATTCAAAGACTGTACGCACTGAGAGGGTTTCAGCCACCCGTCTGCTGAAATAAGCCAATTTGTGGCAGAGAGGAAGAATGGCTGTATTCGTGTAAAGTCACAATCCCATGGAGTCCAATCACCCATTTCAAAGTCGCGTACTGCACTTTTCTGACCTTCCATGTCTGGGAGTGACTGGTGGAAGGTTGTGTGTGCATCAAAACCTTTCCATCTATGATTAAAGTGGTTCTCCTTCCTTAGCTTTTTTTGAATGCCCAAAGAGGCTGTTGAACAAGGGCCCTCTCCTCCCCATCTTGTAAGGAGGTAGTAGTATTTTTGAAGAGGGAGATTTTAATGTTGTTGGGATAACTACAGTCTTTTCATAAGAAAATGCATCCTTTTGGAGTGGTATCTTCAAAATGCTATGCATATTTTACTTATTTATTTATATTTCAAATTTAGATACCGCCCATCTCACAAAAAGTGACTCTGGGCGATTCACAATAAAAAAACAATAA